TATATGAATATAGGAGTGGTCACGGTTCCAAAACCATTGGTTTCAGTTTTGGAACCGAACGGTTACGGTTTCGATTCCGATTCTTTAACGATTCTATATCAATGGATCCAAACGGTTCTCTGATTGATTTTTCGGCATTATAAAATCAAAAGTTAGGGAACATTTTTATTGAAAATATAAAATTTAAATATTTATGAAATAATTTTTAGAAAAAACTTTTAAAAAAATAGAAAAAGGCTTAACTTAATTTTTTTATTAAAAAAAAGGCTTGAACTTTTTTTTTTAGAAGAAGGGCTTAAACTTAATTTTTTTTTTTTTTTTTTAGAAAAGGCTTGAACTTAATTTTTTTTTTAAATGAAAAGGGATATTTATAGTAAATCAAAAAAATCAATTTTCCACAAATACCCTTAAAACTAGTTGTTATATAGTTGTTAGGAGCATTAACTTGGGGGTTTCACAAAAATATTTTTAAAAAAAAGTTATTGAAACCAGGTGGTACCGCTGGTTCGAATCGTCTGAACCACCGATTCTAATCGATTGGAAAAAGCCAGTTCCAGCCAGTTCTTGAAACTTCCAGTTCACAGTTCCTCAAAAGTTGGAACCATAATCGAACCGCAGTCCCTCGGTTTTAGTTCATCACGGTTCCGATTCTGGTTCCCACTGGTTCCAAACAGGCGGTTCCGATTCCAAAAATTGAAAAAATGGCCACCCCTATATGGATATTACTTATGTACTTATTGTACACCAAAATATTGAAAGAAAAATTTTGCTTTCGACGTAAAAGAATATTTAAAAGGCTCTAGAAGAGTTAGTATTATTACATAGAGGAATAGATTTTATGCATATTGCTTTATTCCAAAAATATACATTAAAATGGTTATGATATGAAGATGACGATTGAAATAAATATGATTGTAAACCTCCGGTTTACAAATATAATATTTTACTCTTTGACATGATCGAATGGACCATCTCGATCAATAATGATGTGAAAAAGAATTTATTGAAGAACTAGAAGTTTCTTCAACTGTAATGAATTATTATATTAGATTTGTTCTCAAAGCAAATTAATTATTGAGCAATCACCAAGTAGAGTTCAAAAGAACTGCTTGCACTTTCTAGAATATATAAAAAGAAATCATTGATCAATTCATCCGTCATGTGGATTATTTAAATATTTTGCGGATGCATCCAAAATATAGTTATATGATTATTATTAACTTGCAACCTGAAGTTTGTATGATTATTTGCACAAACAATTTGATTAAGAATACAACTTCCAGATTATGCTATTAAGATAATTTATCTTCAGAATGATGGTGAATTTACACATCAGCCTTTAATTATTATGACATGTGTTAATTTAAATAACTTAGGGCAACCTGTTGTTTTTATTTATGCTAAAAAATGATTTAGAAGAATCATTTATAAATAATTGCAATTAATTGCAAGACAATTATTACGAGAACGAATCTTTCTATTTTTTAGAGGGACATACTATTAAATTTAGTAGTATTTAATTGCATCAGGCCAATAAGTTATTATAAGTTCTCTCCTTTATAATTGATTTTTGGATCAGGAACCAAACATTTCCCATTGAAGAATTTTTAAATGTGCGGTATATGTAGGATCCTCCAAAAATGTCGAAAATATATGTCAGGTATGCTTTTCTATGATTAAATATTTAGAACTTTCAAATAAGAAATGTATATATGCCAAATTTGCTAATTGTTATGGATCTCGACATTAGGGGGAGAAAATAAGCAGCTTGAAAAATAAATTAGGTGGAAAAGAATTATCATTATTATATCTTGATCCTTATATAAGGCGATGTGAATTTTAAATTTTAAAAGATAATTCATTTGTAAAATACTGCAAATTAGTTGTTCGATATATTTACTGATCCAAAAGGAGATAATTAAATCTCACATACTAGCCGCAAATCGCTCCTATTATAATTGAAGTCCTTGAAGGACAAATTACTTATATTAATGAGTCTAAGGCATGCTTGAAGTATGATAGACCAATTGGTTCCAAGGATAAAAATCCTAGAAAAAGAAAAGGAGCAAATATTCAAGTTGGTCAAGTTCTAGAAAAGTATATTCTAGAAGAGATCCTAGACATGACTAGTAAGTTTTTCGAAGAAATTTAGGTACCTGAAATGAATGAAAATTATAAGATCTTTATAAATTATGTCATGTCAGGACAAGATAGAGCCAATATAAAAGAAATGTCGACAATATTTATATAATATAGTGCATGAAATTGTGAAAAATAATGAGGATCTTGAGTTTAGTCTATCGGAGAATATAGATATATAATTGATTGGCCAAAATAGAACGATGCATTTGGCATTTAAATTTATTTGAAAAGTTAATTTTAAAATTTTAATATGGGCATCAATAAATGTCAAGCCAGTAGAATACAAATATGAAATGGTTATGAGATATAATAGCAAACTTGTTGCACATATTTTCGCAAGAACTGGATTGATTATGAGTATAAAATATCCTCATGTGGTGGATACCATGTAAAATTTGTATTTAATTAGTCTGGCAATTTATGAAAATTATAATGGTCTAATGAATAATGACTACCTTTTTATATGCAACTGATATAGATATCTATATAGAAAATCGTGAAGATTTAATCATGCTTAAACATAAAAATAAACTTCTCAAAAATTTATTACAATCAAAATCTATATTAGAGCTCTATATAATATTGGAAAAATTTATGAAAATTATAAATGCGTCTAATGAATTAATGACTACCTTTTTATATGCTAACTTGATATAGATATCTATATGAAAATCTCTGAAGGATTTTAATTGCTTAAAACATAAAATTAAATTCTCGAGAAATTTATTCAATCAAATCATATAGAGCTCTATATAGATTATTGGAAAATGATATTCATGAAATATTGAAAAATGCTTAAGCAAGCAAATCGAGACCCGTGAAATATATTCAAGATTTCTATGTGGATTAAAGGAATCACAATAAATACGATTTAATCACCTTAATGATATGTATGGCTTATAAAATATTATATTATTTTATAATTATATTATATTTGTAATATTCTTTTATTGAAAGTCACATCCTTTATACTTTGATACTTATTTTATATGCTATCAAGAGTAAGATGATCTATTGATTAATAAATATTTGTTGAAAGAATATTATAATGATATTATTATATTCATGAGTTTTTATCAAGAGATTTAAATATGAATTTGTCATTATTTGGTTTATGGACATTATTGGAACTCCTGAAAAGCTTTCAAAGATTATAACTTCCGCAAGGGAGTAGTTAAGATAAAAGAGATTGAGAATATAAAGTTTTGTCTCGACCTGAAGATCTAACAATTCATAAATGAAACTTTGTTTATGAATCCACATATATGACTAAGTTATTAAAATGGATTTATGGACTCGAATGACTATGAGGTTACTTGATGAGAAAAGAACCAGTTTTCAACTTTGTGAAAATTATGAGAACTTATTGGTCTTGAAGGCGCTAATAAATCTTGCTAATCATATGACTCGATATATTATAAATTTTATTTGCAAGATATAGTTCTTCTTGAAGATGAAGAAATTGAATGAAGTTAAAGCATATATTTTTTGACATCTCTATGGGATAATAGATATGAGTTTATATTATAATTAACATGTAAAAATCAATTTTGATTACCGATGAAAATGTAGGCTACTTGTCTAATCGACAGTATGTTAGATCATAATCAAGTCGTTCATTTACATATAGAGATACAATTATTTCATAGCATTCAAGGGATGAAGTATTTCTATTCCTTCTTTTAGCCATGCAAAAATTTTAGCAACTCATGAAGAATGACAAGAATGTATTTATTCATAGTACGTACAATCTACTTCTTAAGAGAAAAATTCCTACAATATTACATGGAGATAATATTTAGTACACTCATCTTCCTTGAAGGAATAATATATTAAAGGAAACAAGAAGAGCATATTTTTTACAAAAATTATTCTTTGCTCATGATCTACAAAAGAATGGTGATATTGAAGTTTAACTACTCAAGCGACAATATTATTGATTTGCCATTAAAGCGCTTTCTACTACGAGTTTTGAAGAATCGATACACAAAGTTGGATTAGATAAACTCAAATATCTCAAGTTTTATTTTCATGAGAGGGAGTAAATATGCACTGTATTCTTTTTCCTTTTAACCAACGTTTTTTCCCACTAGGTTTTCCTGATAAAAGTTTTTAATGAGGCAGTATTCAACGCGTATTTAAGAAAAGAATAATGTACTCTTTTTCATTCACTAAAATTTTTTTTCTCACAGGGTTTTTTTAGTAAGGTTTTAACGAGGCATATTCTTTTGAAGAATGGACATCCAATGGGAGTGTTATAAAATAAGTGGCTGTCCTATATGGGCTAAAAGTCTATATTCTTAATTATTGCAAACTTTATATTTCTGATTTATGTAGGACTTCATTAGGGTTCCACTTATATAACTATATATATGTGGCTTTTCATCAATAATAAATACATAGTCTCCCATATTTTACTTTCTATTATTTATCTTTCTTTCCTCTAATTTTATATTATTTTATAATAAGAATGGTATAAAAAATGACAATTTGAAATGTAATGTTTTTTTAAACAAATTTTTTGAATATTTTTTAATTAAATGGTTTTTTATTAATTAAAATTATAAAAATTATTATTTTATTGTTTTGGCCAAAAATTGGGGGATTTTGCTCATCTTTTATGAAGTTGGGTGGTAATTAAAAAAATTGATTTTTGTACAAATTGAATATTGCAAATAAGTTGAGGTGCAAATTGACTTTCTGTGTCAAATATGACTCCTATAAATTTATTGCGTTATTCTATCGAAGTAAGAAAGGGTGTATGAGTAAATTTCTTTGAACCATGTACCTGTAGCAGTGATTCTGTTGCATGGTAGTACTTTTGCTCTCCACGCGGCTCATGAACTTTTGCCAATCATACACTGCCTCCGTGTATAAAAGGCCTGCCACCTTCGTGTGCACTGTGCAGTGCCAGAACTTCTCGTCACTCACTCTCAGTAGAGCCTTGTTTCTCAAGGTAATTATTCCAAGCTTCAACTCCTTCGGTTTTGAGCATCAAAATTTTTTCATGCTCATCCTTGATTCATTTTATTGTTGGTGTGTTCATTCTTCTTTCAACAGAAGAAAATGGCGGAACCTGACGTTGCTGTTCCTATTCTTGTTCCTGATCAGTACGTTCGTTCTTTTCATTTTGATCCACGGACTGCTCTGTTTTTTTGCGTTTGTTTGTTTTCCAGTTTTTTTTTATTTTTTTTGCGTCAGATGATCCATTTTTTCACTTATACGCTGTAATCTTAAAGTTGAAGCAATATACAAGGTTATGTTGTATTTTCTCGAATCGCCATTGATAGAAGCATGCAAAGATAGAGAGATGTCGATAGAAATTATTTTTTATGTTGAGATTCTGTATAGCTGTCTATGAAACATTCGTTTTGGCATTAAACTACCTCTTTAGCCAATTTGTAATTAAGGTACTACTTTTGAATCGATTTGCTTTTGGGTTAATTTTCCGAGGATTTTGGTTTCTCTGTTTCCTTGGTTATAAATGCCTCTGTTGTTCCTTGTGAATTCAGACCTTGTCTGTATGAAGTTGACATCTCTAAGTTGTTCATAGACGAAAATCTCAACAGAAGCCTCTGTCTGGTAAGCTGATCTATTGGCTTTATAAATCTGGTTCATCGATTTGTGCTTGAGCTCTAATTTTATTTATTTTTTTGTTATTTATAGTTGGTAATTGGTTCTATTTGGATTTCTTTCAAAATGACCTTTTAGCTTTAGATGAGCATCTATATTATATGCATGCTCATGAACTGTTTATTTTGCGTTTCACTATTTTTAATTTTGCTTATGTTATTGAAACTGAAATTTTCTGTTGTCTCTCCCACTCGTCCTCCATTCTGGATTGGCAAAAAGTCGCTGGCTAAGATTAGCAACAACATGCTCAAAGAAGGCCAGTTGAGGTCAATTTCAACCGATCCCAGGCAATGCCTTTACGTGTTAACTGGTGAGTTATTATTATCCTTACTATAGTCTTTGCTCCAAAGGATGGTTTAATTAGACGTAGGGTGGCCTGAGCTTAGATTGCATTATTCTTGGTGATTAGTTTGATAATTTTTTGAGGCCTATATACTTTTCTTTGGCTAGATCCGATTCAGTCTTGGGTCAGACTCGATGACCCTACTCACCCTACTCTATACTGTGCCGTTCAGGTTTGTCTTAGATCTAATAAGCCATTCAGTACTTTACTTTTGAGGAATTATATATGTTTGAGCCAAGGTTGTTTCATATATGCCTATTAACGAATTCACGTTCTGCAATAAATTTGACATGCTGGCAATTAAGGAGGCCAATTATCCCTGCATTGTACATGTTAATTAATTACTAACATCTAGCTAGCATTTGGCCAGGTTATAAGCAAGTAATAGAACCATATAAGGAATTTTAGAGTAAGAGATGCAATAAATAATTTCAGTGACAGTCATATTAAACGAACTTTATGTGTTGATCCAATTAATATATTGGGATAAATAAAGCCCTCGACAGAAGATCTGAATTTTGTCATATTATGGATTGTTGCTTTAGAGAACTAGAAATTTCTCTCATGGTGGATAATGGAGGTGAAAGGCTTACTTAATTAGACATCTTCACATGCTATACCATTTCTTAAAATTTCTCTTTCGGATTGTAGTTCACAATGATCTTCGTTATTATCTCCTTCGTCCCTTTAAACAATATTCATCAAATTAAATAATAATATTTATGGAGGAGAGCACTTAAACCGCCCCACCTCCAATCAAACAACATCTGATTGGTTAGTTAATTATGTATTAATATTGTTGAAATTTCTGTATATCTGGATCCTTATCTTGAAGTATGTTACTGTTTGTTTCTATCTTCGTATATGATATATCGTGGCCATTTTATTTGTTACTGACTATCATCTTGTCCAGGTATACCTTGAGGGACCAATTCCTGATTCTATTCAAGAAAACGAGAATGTTGGGGAGTCCATAGCCCAAACATTTGCATATTTTCCTCGATTGAAGTCTAAGAACCTTGTGGGTGCTCAAATTGTGCATCTGTTTGCAGCAGAGGTAATCCCTGTGCTTGGCTCAAAGGTTTAGAATCCAACAAAAGTTTGGCATGTAACTTGACCTTTTCATTCTAATAATATATATTCAGGATGGATATGGCTCGTCATCATTGGATATGTTGACAAGGTAATAAATATATTTATTTCGCTTCCACATCAATTCATTTGCCGTTTGAAATGAAGTTGATCTCATAATACAGGTCAATGAATACATGAAAATAATGATCTGATAGTGGCATCCATATATAATATAGGATAAGACTGTGTATATTTGTATATTTGAAATATATCTTACTACGAGCATATTTCATATATTTCACCAATAGTTTTCGAAATTCAACTTGAATGTGCATTTGCAAACCATCTACTTGTTTTCAATTAAAGAATTAATCAAACAGGGACAGGTTACACAACTTAATTTACATAATCCTTGCACTAGCACTTAGTTTAGTTTACGGTTATGCACTGAGGAGCTTATGAACTCATTGCTGACATCATCTGCAAAGAGAATAATTATATTGCCATGTATCCCTATTCTGAAAATCGATTCTGTCATTTCATTTAATTATCGGTCTCCTGATACATGGTTTTCTTTGTTGAAGATTTTATGGTGGAACAGCAGCCACAAATTCCATAGAATTGGTTATTCCTTTAAACTCCTTTCCAATATAGCCCTATAATCTGATTTCTCCAATTTAAGATGTAATTGCTTAATCAAAATTTTAACTGATCTTTTTAGGATCCACTTATCAGTCCAAGGAAGAAATGGATAAAGTTACATTATCTAGGGGCCTACATCGACTTGACTGTTAATGCTGTTACTCGCTGGGAAGGATACAGTTTCTTTTTGTTGTTTGTAATGAACCTTAAGGTATTGATATACTTGAATCTTAAAAATAAGCCTGTTCAAGATTTTTGTGTTTCAACACTGGTTTTTCTTCAACCCAAAAACAAGACAAGAATAGAAACTGTTGGAAGAGTTTTACCTAAATATTATATCGAAGCAAATGTGTGTAAGCCCCCATAACACCCCCCCCCCCCCCAAGCCCCCATAACACCCCCCCCCCCCCAACCACCAACCAAAAGAAAAAAAAAAATGATTGAAAATCAGAGAGAAATTGATCTCTTGTTACTATTATAATCAACTTCTCACAACAATATTTTTATATTTTCACCTGTGATGTATCAGGGGGAAATATATTCACCTGTGATGTTTAAACCATTGAATGATTATGAACTGGAGATTTCTGGAAATGACGAGAATTGCTCTGTCCCTAACCTTGCAGAGAGTAAGTCTTATTCTATCCAAAATTTCTTTATGTTATCTTCCTTCCTTACTTCAGAACAATTGAAAACTGATTAGTAGTTAAAATGTCTCAGATTCCAGGATCATATTCGTAAGACAACTGTCTTTACATTTGCGCACCTTGGATCATGAGGTTGCCCTAAGGTCAGTACTGGGAACTCCCTTTAATGTTAAATTAATTTGTCGTTGAAGTCGATTGAGAATTCAGAAAGTTGCTGTTCTAATATACTGTTGAATCTGTGAGATGTCTTATGCTACTTGGCAGTTTATTATATATATTCTAAGCTAAACATTTTGTAGTTATTCAAATATTCATGTTTTAGTTTTTTTGTTAGAGGATTAACATTTGTTTCAAAAAATTATGTCTAGATAAAGTTGTTGTTTGTTCTTGTAGTAGGAATTAACTAAAAATCCTACAACCTTGGTGTTATCCAGCCGACATGTAAGCAGATGTATCCATGAAAATATTAAGAGAAAAGTTATATTTACCATCTTTCTTAAGCTTGCTTTGCCATTATTTTCAACAAATACAGGTTACTTGAAAGCTTTTCTAGAATGATCCATGCCAAGAAACTGCCTCGTGTGAACAAACTGTGGCAAGGAAGAGACCGAGAAAGAGTTGATGATTTTATTAGGTTTCCAGGGAAACTGGAGAAACTTGAAGTAAGTAAATACTGGAGATGGTAAATAAATCATAGACTGAAATATTAATCATCCAATTCTTACATATGGATGATATAAATGGGATTTGGATAACCAAATTACCAAAAGGAAAAAAGAAACATCTCTTCTAGGAAAGAGTTCGAATGCTGTTTATGGACATGTATGAATTCAAACAAGCGAAACATCTAAACATGGCCATCTTCCTATAAGTGATATCTAACTGAAGTCTACCATCCATTTTTTGTAGCTAGTCACGGACTTAATGTGCGATCTCGCTTCGAGTTATTTTACTGGGAAATTGCCAATTGAATTGAATTGTCGGATGATGAACAAGTCTGTTTGCTCTCTGTGTTGCAAAATCAGGTTGACCTATTTCAGGTATATCTGACTGTACTCATCAATTTTGGATTCTAAAATCTAAAAACCTGAAAATTAAAAAGGCGCGAACGTTAATTATCAATTGTTAAGCAGGATGATAATGCAAGGTCCAGGCTGAGGAATGTTTTTGGGAAAGTTACTGACTTGTACAACACTTTATCACCAGAGGTATATCCCACCTCTTTCGTCTTCGCCTTACTGAGGTTTTATTTCTTTTATTAAGAAAATTCAGATTTGTAATATTTCGTACTATGCACAGGTGGTAGATGATCCCCATGAAAAACAAAAATCAAAAGCTTTAAGTGGACAGTCTAATTAGTAGCAAACTTTCTGAATTCATGAACTTAGCTGGGTTCTGGTGATTGGTTGGCGGGTTCCCTGTTTCGTAAAATGGCACTAGTTCTTCCATCTGCAAAAAGAAAAATTTCCCCGAATGAAGTATATAAGCTTTCATTTTAGTTTACACCTTTATTTTTCTTTCAATATCCAATACTAGCCAATGGCTAGTGCAACTCATCATCAGTGCACTAAATCAGTGAAGCAACGGTCTTTAATTAAATGACTTGTAGAAATTAAATTTGATTTCTTAATATCAAGAGTTGATTGCAAGTTTCATCACAGGCCATTAACTCTTTAATAGCAGAGCGTTCTCTTGTTTTTGGATCCCACAAATTGCCCATATGAAAGCATATCCATCACGAAAAACTACTTCAATATTTTCACTGCCAATCTCTAGATCAAAGTACAAATTTTGAAAGATAATTCTATAATATAATCCGTAACGGACTAAAGCATATTATATAAAATCTTTTGAAGACTATTGTAAGCCTTCAAAATACTCTGGTTGTAAATATGACAAATCGATATGCTAATTAGAGTAAGCCTCAAGACTACCGTAAGATTTCCCCTCAAAGTTAGCTGACCAGGACTATTGGAAGTTAACTTGTCCGCAGATCCTACCACCGGTCACCAGCCAAAATACTCTGGTTGCTCTGTTTTTCTTAATTTTCTTAATAAACATAAAAATGTAGCAAATATCACTACTAGGGCGAAAAATGGTAAGCTATAAGCAAATACAATCAACATATCCTAATTAAATAAAAAACCCCAGAACCTAAATTCAATCTTTTAATTACAACCTCCCTCTGATCTCAGGTCAAATGCACTTCCATGACAGTTTCTAAGGAGCAAAGTCTCTACATCATTTTTCTCTTTCGACCTTTACGAGTTCTTTCAGGCCTTCTGCATTTCTCGGATGCCTTTCTGTTGGCCTTCACACTAATAACGCCACTAGGAGAGATTGTACTGCATTTTTTCAGAGCTTGCTCAAATTCAGCTTCTTTATCATTAATACAGTATTGCTGCAATAATTCAGGCTTCAGCAAATCCATATTCTTTATTCTCATCTTCTCCTGCATTTATAATAAAAGTTTGATTCCAACTAACATGGTAGGAAAGTTCATTTGAGAAAGTTGAAAAGCTTACCATCACTTGCTTAGCACCATCATTTAGATCTTCATCAACTGACACACTATGAGGCTGAAACTCAACCTAATTCCATAACAATTAATATAACCCCAATGTCAGAAACGGTAGGGAAATAATACAGAGAAAATTCCTGAATGTACAATGCCATGCAAGTGCGTGCTGAAATGAGATACAGTCTTGAAAGTGAAAAATCCTTTTGAATGTAGGACCATTTAGGGAAGGAAAATATATGAAGCTCTACTTAAAATAAAACCTAAATTCAATCTTATTTGAGAGAATATATGTCCTCAAGCAAAACAAAAGGGAAGACAAACGAAAAGTGGAAATGGGTTAAGATGTCTATTCAAGTTGATGGCTGAAGCACTGCAAAGGGGTCGCTTTCAAAATTCAAAAACAGAGTAAATACGAGCTCTTTGTCCTATCTGATACTGGGAGTGAGCACCATTCAATTTAAACGAGAAAACAATCCAAATCACACAAGGCTTGGTTTTTCCCCAAAATTCGGCGTGGTTTTGATGCTACAAACTGAACCATAAAACATTATGTATTTCCATATTGCATAGTTGTCTTCTTAGCTTCACAGATCCAATAAGCTATCATTCCCCAAGTCACTTGCCACCCTCACCTCCACTCCACTATCCTCTCTCACTGTGCTTCAAATCTCCACAGCCTCAGCTTCTTAGTTTGCCCCCTTCCTTCCTCCTCACTCATATTCAAGAGTCAACAGCAATGGATTCATAACACTGAGAGTTTGTCTGGGCTTATAAAAGTAGTGGCTCCTCTCTACACTTTAATGTGCTTTTCCTTATTTTACATTATATCCCTGTCAATCCAGTAAACTAACTGTAAATCACTTGGCTTGGTGTAAATGTGTAATGAATTCAACATTCAAGTGATCCTCAAAGAACTGGAGTAGGATATTTATAGATGGCATTCTTTAATAGGCAAACCCAGCTTGATATTAATAAGAAGTTAAGAGTTAAAATGAAGAATCGCCCTAGATTCCAAGGTTTATTAGAATTAGAACACAAATAGTATATAAGACTTGCAATTTTGTCGATGAAAGGGAAAAGGGATGACTGATTGAACTAGGTTTAGCTTAGATGGTACAACGGTATATATGATGGATGGCAGTGAAGAAGCAACAAATTAAAGATTTGTGTAAACCTAGGAAGATGTGGAAGAAGTGCAAAAGGATTTAGAACAATCTAAATCTTACTCTAGACGTAACCCTAAAAATAACTAAAAAAGAAAAAAGAAGAACAAGCTAAACAAATGAAGCATTAAATTCAGAATTTGATGACCAACAAAATGTAGTGCAAGCGGTCCCAGCAAGGTTAAAATAGCCAAAACCATTGCCTACTTAGTGAGAATATAAGCTTAAATACCCTAGATTCATTAGTGAACCCAACAAAATAATAATTTTTTGCTTAAACTATGCTTTTTTATTCGACAAAGATAGTATTCCAGCTTACCTTACTTTCACGAGGTAATCTCATATCCATTTCATTGGTTAGAACACCATAAAAATACTTGTAAAATTTCATCATAACCTTGCGAAACAGATGCAGGACTTGCGTTCTTTCTATCTTCATTTGTTTCTGATTCCCAGCACATGAGCACAGCAAAAGTGCAGTAGAGAAATCAGACCGTATAATAAATACAAGGCATAAACAATGAACTTCATACAACCAGCAGAAGCTGCAGAACTACATATATTATCATATAAGCTGTTCAGAAGGCACAAAGGGATCAGAATACTATAATCAAACCTGAATGTCAGTTAGACTCTGTAGCTGCAAGCCCATGCATAATAAAAGAGATGCTTGGAGATGTGATAATTGAATTGGAAGCTTCTCATCAAAGTAGTAATAGGCAAAGAGTGGCAGAAGATGCATGACCTGAATCATTTTATTAAAAAATTATGTTCATCTCAATTAATGACTTCCCTGCACATCCTTAAAAAGAATAGCTAGTGACAAAGTAAATAGATATATATGTATGTTACTATAAAGTAAAGGCTGCTCAAGAAATACCAGAGGGTATAAATGCCTCATATGCACCGCATAGAAAATATAGGCTTTTCTTTTTTTTCTTTTCTTTTATTTTTCCTTTTTTGGCAGGGATTGGAGGCTTTTTTATTTTTTTTTGTGTGTGCACACACGTGGTGAACTGCTGTCGTTTGATGATTTCCTGTTGATTTGATGGTGAATCAGTTGAGAAATACCCTAAACATAATGTTTTTTCTTTTTTTTTCACTATTGGTACTTACAGAAATTCTTAAAGGGGAGGGGACTGCCAAGAATAGAAAACTAATGGTGTTAGTTAAGGGTTTGGCCATTTCTAGTCCATATATCTGTAAACATGCAGCTATATATAAATTTAATGAAACTAGCAGTTCATAAAACAGAGGAGAAATTTCTTGATATATATAAATTATTAAAAGAATTTGAAAAGAGAAAATTCTTGATGTATATAAATTATCAAATCACCATGGCACCTTTGCGACTTATGAACTACGAAGGCCCCAACAATATGTGTTTCCTTATTATGGTAAGTTTGCAAATATCAGAGCAAGAAAATGTTAAGAACTCAGGATTCTTTCTATCTTGAAGTCTCAAGTGTCATACTGCTAGGTTGCTGGCATATGAGGGTGGGTACTTAATTATGGATCAAGAAGGGTGACCCTCAACTGTAGTACAACTACTGGACCAAAAAATGGTGGGCACTATTCGTGACATGCATGATTACATTAATTTTAGAAAACCACACGATTTTGATCTCTTGACCCTTGAATCCATCAAACTTTACTTCTTAAATGCACTATATTAGAGGAGAAATGAGTAGACAAGGAATTTTAGAAGTGCCATGGTATACTCTTTATGCCAATTCATATACTCATCAATACCACAAATGAGAAAAATGCAGCAAAAGGTTAATCGCTTAACTTATTGATATAATATCCGATAATAGAGATTCACATCTGACCTTCCCATAATCTTTACGATTGTTGGCATAGGAGTCCAGCAATTTCACATCATCCGGAGAGCAAATCAATTTTACCACAATAGAAGCTTCTTTTTCTGAACATAATGATGTCTCATTTTCTGAGAAGTCAATCTTTGGATCCAAAATGCTATAAAGAAACTGGAAAAGTTAGTCACACAAGCAAACTCTTATGTTCATGACAGAATTCAATATGTATGATATTACCTCATAGCAAGTTTATAATCTAACTCCCGAAAACATAAAGGAAGACGTTTGACAAACTTTCTTTTGAAACCTATGGATAGCAATGATTTGTCAAATATAACAAATTCAAAGAATGAAATTTCCCAGTAACAAATTTGTAAAGAAGCTCACACTGATAGAATGGAGCAAGAAAGTCAAGGGAACATAAGCCATCGAGTTCAATATCATCAGTCTCCAATGGCTTCAACATCATGCAACTATGCTCACCAGTTCTGTTATTCTACCACATCAAAAGAAGAAATTCATCAAGTTACATTTATAGACTTGATAAATTAATTGAACTGCGAAAATGATGCAAATTGCATAAATATCTTAACTGGATTATCACAAATGTAAAAGGGAGTAAATTTATGTTTCTTCCAGAAGCGAAAAAGATCCTTGTTAAGCCCAAAAGAAACACCAATGTAATTGACTCTCTCAGGTAATCTTTCACGAGGATGTGTCAACAAAGGTGGAAGGTTTTCTCTAGGTGCAATAGTTTCTTCCAGCAATGAGGCCTGCAAGTATAATCATCAGAACTTGTGTCCAGTGTGCTAGTGCACAGAACAGATTATGCAATATGATGAAGCAAACCAAACTTCATCACCACACCTGATTTGCCGCTTGAATGATGTTTTCGTGAAGCCTTCTTCCATTGTTTTCAACATTTGTCTCATCAATAGCAGTCAACTTCCCCTCATAGTATCTGAAATTTATCAAGAGCATTAATATTTTTCTGACATGCATGATTGCGTTAATAGTGAAGCAAACAGTTCAATAAGAGTACTACTATTGTGTTTTCTATTGCGAACTGAAAAGCAAGGCTGAGAAGGACGCTAAAATCTCAGCCAAGCAAGAAAAGTATGCTCAAACTAAAAATGTGTTAAAATTGCAAGTGAATCATAATTCATCGATCTGGAAGGTAGAGAAAAAAGTCACAGGGAAAATAGCTTCACTATACAACTTTATCTTTTTTCAGATCTTTTATGGACCTATGTGCCTCACTTACTCAGCTAACTCTAAGCAACCATTTTGTCACTGCAATTATGATCATTGTATAGACAGATAAGAGTACTAAAGGAAATTATATGATCAGGAAGTCTAAGAAAGTACGAGTGTCATTTTGATTCAGGATGCACTCCAAGTGAACCTGAGATATCTTTTAATCTTTTATGGGATGCAACTTGGTTCAGCTTGATAATTTCTCCTAGTATAACATTACGAGTTGTCACACCACTTTCAGGCTTACAAAGTTCCAAGTAAATAAAGCATGCATCTAGCATTTTCATAAATAGGTATTCATGTATCTAAAATTCTCATTCCTTTTGGTCTTCTTGAGTGTTTTTAATTTACGAATATTTATACAGATATCATCCCCTAGATCTGATACATAAGTACACTAAAAAACGTTAGCTTTATTTTCTGAAAAATTAGGCTTCCAAAAGGATTTGGAACATTATAAATTATGCTATTAATAATTTACTAGATGCCATCATAGCATTTAGTTTTGTTTACAGCAATTTATTGATTAAGAACAGTAAGCCACTTAGAGTATAACAAAATAGTTTAGAATTTTATGTTAGAAAGAAATTATACAAATTTGTATCACGAACTTTTGTCTAAAATACTTTGTATTATCCGGTTCATGGACTTCCTTGCCCAGGAAAAAAGGGAGAACTGAGAAATTATCCCCCTTTAATGCCAAAAGGGGAATTTGGAAACAAAAATGAAAGAGAAAGCACTGATGTAAAGCAGAAAACATAAGACATTTGAGACATTCAGATTGCCTTTTACAAAGGCTGGATAAAAAGTGCACAGTATTATACAGACCTATGAACATTTGATCTAACAATAAACTCAAATCACAAGAAAAATTCAAGTTCTTATTAATAAAGCCAACAGCAAAAAAAAAAAAGATTTTTTTTTATTTGTTACGCTTTTTCACATCAAAATGACAGCATGAATACAATTGTACCTTGTTAGAAGATCCAGAGCCACTGAACCATATCCATGCTGTGAGCCAACCAAAAAGACACAAGTATTAGAAAGATCGTTATCAGCAAGTGATAAAGATTGGAGGTCTGAGACTCTGAAGAATACCCCCAAAACGCTGGGGTGAACTGCTATTCTGACAATGCGAACACCCGAGAGGTTTGGAAAATCTGTATTCTCAAACTCTTCACAAAACTTCCATGGAATTTGATCACCAGAAGGCAGACGCCCCACTTGCAAGCTTTGCGATGCAGATTTACGTGAAATCTCACCTTCAAGGCACACCTGTGTGAATAAAATAGAACAAATATTCATGTCCATAGTTTCACCGTGAAACTTTCACATCCTAGTGGGAAAAATAAGTAGAAGGCAAAAGCTTAAAATAAATAATAGTTCATCGATATCAAGAGCAATTCAAACTCGAAGAAGCCTTTAAACCTTGAAGCAAATGAAAATAAATTTAGAAATTGAAAGTTAGAAAAATCAATTTTTTGTTGTAATCACCTTTCACTTTCCCATATGAAGTGAAATTCATATGTTGACCAAAAATTATATTTGCTTTTAAAGCAAAATCAACAATCATAAAATTTACAAGCATGATATCACCATACTTTCTGCTCCTCATTCTTGGTCCCAAATCCTCATATTTCTGCTATTACACCTCATTCTAGTGATCATAACAATTATTATTTTCTCACCATCAGCTAGCAATTTCGTCCTTTTGCCATCTATTAATGGTCAATAGGCACTTGCTTCAATCCCCTAAAGCTAGTAACAACCAACCCTCTTTACTTCCACTGAGGTATGCGTTGGTCACATCAATACTAACATGACATAAAGATAAGAAATCCATTCTGCCACTAATAATGTATCAATCTCAGCAAACTACATATAATATGTTCAGTAAATAACAGAGATATGAAATGTCCACATACCCAACCATGGAATGTGTACTAATATGATCATAACATGCAAAACATCAGTGTCTCATAAGACCATAACTCAGGAAAAAGGATAAGAAAAATGCATATGCAATAATGAAAATTCAACCAGAAAAGAAAATCACTGCTGATACTCACTTGGATAACACACAAAATGTCTGGAAGAATATTTCTTGTCTCATCAACAGGTCCTGCAAAGACTTGCTTCAATTAACGTCTACCAAGCTGCAATAATAATTTCGACTTGAGAACATACCAAGAAGTACAAAGAGATGATGTGCTGGAGCATCAGCCATTAGTTGCAGGTCATTAGGAGAGTTTTTGTAGTGAGAAGAAACATAAAGAGCCACCATTCGCTGTAAAAAAATAATTTATAAAATTAAAAAAGTAGATAGTCAAGAAAACTGAAGCCTTACACTAAAAAACTCAACTAAAGATAGCTTTGCAACCTTCTGAATACCTGTAGAAACATTTCACTTTCTTTGTGGAAGGAGAACAAAGTGTCTCGATTTACATAATACAAATTGCATTCTGTGGGATGAGGGAACCTGGCAGTCGAAGAGAAAGAACTGACATTCAGGACAGAAGGAAAACAGGATAACATATTCAACACTTAAAGCTTCTCAAGAAAAAGTAAGAAAACCTGCTGATAGGAGGCACCAAATTCGTAGTGTCCAAGCACAGTAAACCATTAAGCCAAGACTCTATAGGATCCTCAGATGCATATCTGATGGGCTCCTTCAATTCAATCTTATGGAATAGGTTGCCTGCGAGTAAAAGGTTATTTGATGCAACTTCTTACTTTTCCAAGAATCACTTAAGTTCCCCATTGTTAAGAAAGAGAAGAAATCCCACATTGAAAAAAGAGCGGAATTCAGCATCATTATTCATAAAAGAAGACAGGAGCACGAGCCACTTCTAATGAGCATGGTAAAATATCTCCAATTTCATGTTTATTTTGGAGCAATCTTCATAATATAATTAGTCTAATAAATGCAGGTTGTCCTATTTGAGCTATTTGAGCTATGGGAATCAGTCCTAAAATCTTCATAAAGGATCCTACTTTCAAATTGGGACCGATTATCTAGGTAAAGCTATGACATATATGCATGGAATGCTTGCTAAATTATGCAGAACTGCAGATTCTAAATACCCAGCTCAGCATGAGTAAATCTCAATGTTTTGAGCTGAAAATAAGCTACACTATCTTAGAATGCCAGTAAAGATGGGAAAATTTGTGTAAAGGGAGGTGCAGGGGATCCTTTCATGATTGGAGCTCAAGAACCAAGGATATAAGATAATTTCAAGAACCAAAGATGGGGAAATTTGTGTAAAAGGAGGTGCAGAGATGGCTTGGATCATATGCCAAGTCACCCAGTGACCTGTGTACCAGGTATGCTTTGCCCTTTCCTTTATAAGTTAATGTCAACACTCTCTATACGTATGAAATTTCTTTCTAAGATAAACTCATTTGCCACATTATCCCTATAAATCTGAATTATCTAAATAACTTTCAATCGAGCAACCTGACAAGAAACAGATTCTGGCTATTAAACAAATAGTGCATCAGTGCTTTCTGTTAAAAAAGTCTCAAATCAACATTTCATAGATTGAAAATTAACATGAATCAGAATCTCAATTTTACCAGAGTGACTAGAGCTAGCACCACATGCAAGATTTTGACTTTGCTTTTCTAAATGACTGAAAAGCTTCAACGACAATGAACGTCCTGTGCCTTCATATCTGAACAAAAGCATTGGCATCTTTTATCAGAAGTGATAAATAGAGGATATATTTTCCATGAAAAAGAATTTCAGAAGACTAATACTTGAAAATCAATGCAGCTATATGTATTGGAATGGAAGAGCAACAGCAGCACATCATACCCATTCACTGTAGATGATATAAAGACCAGATATTGCCCCAGCAATGATTTGACAACAGGCAATGGAATAGCTGCTGCTTCATCAATGACCAGAAGTTCAGCTTGGGAGAGCTTCAAATGATCTTGAGGCTGGATATACTGTTAAAAGTGCTTATTAGGAAGCAAAACAACACATAATAAATTGGAGACAAATTCAAACTATGATGCAAAATACTTGCAGTCACTTTATCTTAATCTACCAACAGAATAAAATGTCAAGGACATTATCAATCATTCACTAGAGTTCAAATAACAACCTCAGTGTAGTAAAGATCACAGCGTTCAAATACCAAGCAATGGTCAAATACTCCAATAAAAAGATAAAAGGTTAAGAGTGATTAGACAGAGAGATATTAAATATTTCCACTAGGGGTGTGCAAAACCACTGACTGAACCAAACCGAACCGAAAACTGAACCGACCCATTTCGGTTAGCTATTCAAGGGAGGTTCAGTTTGTCGGTTTATTCGGTTTGAACTGAATTTGTTGTTCAGCTCGAGTCGGTTTCATAGAAATTCATCACTTGGACTTAAAACCGAAACAATATGGCAAAAAATCAAGGAAAACTGGCCGAACCGACTGGTCAGTTCAAATCGGTTTGGTTCAGATGCCAAATTTCATTCGGTTTGGTCTGTCATAAAAAAATTTTTGTTTTGTATTTTTTGGCCTTGTTCAGTTCGGTTTGAACCAAACCAACCATTTGCTCACCCCTAATCTCCGCTAGCTTCATATTAACCAGTTATTCCACATGCTTCTGAGGACAAGAGAAAAGTTTACCTGAACTACTTGTTTATGCTCCCTGTAAATATACACTTTTCTAATTGCTTTTCTATACTCAGGATTTGTACTTCTCTCCAGATCATAATGCAAATGTTCCTGAAGAATAACCACAAACTGTTAGCCCCTTGTTGCTAAAAGACAAAAACATGAAAAAGCAGAAAAAGCACTAGAAATTACTAATTGAGACTACAAAGAAAGAAGAATGGATGATACTCCCATCCCAAAATATTTGTCCTGTTGACTTTTACACAAAGTTTAAGGAACACAATAATTATAGTGCCACATCATACAAAATATTCTTACTTTCCAAAATTGTCCTCCTTTAAAACTAAATGTTATTCCTAGAATTTAAAACTAGTTATAAAGAATGGCATAGAAGGAAAAGTAAATTTCTCTTAAGTCAATTGGTCAAACATTTTGGGACACCTAAAAATGGAAACATGGACAAACATGTTGGGATGGAAGGAACAATGAAAAGCAAGGGATAAATCAAGCAAGACATGAAAGTCATTGACAATTATGTATAACATACGAATTATAAATACCATGGTGTTACACCATAAGGTTGATTTTAAACAACCAGAATCTAACAGTATTTGATATCCAATGTCAAGGGCACACAGTCCAGGTTATTACATGAATCAGATACTTTGTTTAATGCTGAAATTCTAGGAGTGATTGATACGGTCATTGAAAACATCCTAGATCCTTTATGTTTTCTTCATGACTCCTATTGCTCATGAGCATTTACACCCATATATTAATAAAAAAAAAACCTTTACATTTATTTCTAAATAAATAATTGGTAACTTTATATAATAAAACCAAATTTCAAATGCCCGTATCACCTTTTTCAAATACATGAATCAGACTATAAGTTTTGTCTTTGTTAAGAATCAATGAGTTCATTTAAGCCTTTGATAAAATAGACTGCCAAGAAGCACTACAAATTGTGTATACCAATGGATATGGGTGATGCGTAATTTTTTTCTTTTCCATGTCCGACTGGAACAAATGATTTATATTTAAAATTGATAGTATCTTCAGGTGTAATTTCATATGACTGAATTTTATCTCAGAATGCATCTCCTCGGTTTTACTTTCATAACAAGAAACAAAAGTTCATAATTTCAGTGCATATAATAATTCTTTTACTTGCTAGAATTAATGGTGAAAATATATTCAAAATTTCATAATTATAGTTCAGTTATATTAAATGCAATGCAACACAACGGAGTATTTAGCAAGTAAAGCAAGATCTCCAGATATTTCATTAGAAGGACAGTAAAAGAACCACACATTAAAATTTGAAATAATCAATTACAAAAGAAACCATATATTCAGAAAAGAAAAAACATGGCATGGAAAAAAAATGTCTTTGTTGTGTGTATACATGTGTGCTAGAATGCATGTCTAGTTGTCAGCACAATAGAAAATTAGAAGCATGGCCAAGCACTAGGAAATTTAGAGTCAATAGTGAGAGGTACAGACCTCATAATTCAATGCATGGAGTCCCCTACAAACAAACTCAAACAGTGATATCAAGTTTTCTGGGGAAGGGGCAGTAACAAATATACGCGAGTACCTGCACAAACTTATGCTTCTTCAGCACAAACGAAAAACAAACATAGACAGTATACAGATTAATAAAACGAACTCTTGAAGTGTCTGATGGCTCACCCTGCAGCTACAGCTCCTGCAATTGCCAAACCCAGAGCCGCAGATTTACCCCGTCCACGAGAAGCAGTCAGTGTAATGGTTCTTTGAATTGCCTTGTCCAAAATGGCATCAACAAGAGTTGAAATAGCTTTTCCCTAAAATACACAAAAAGAATACAGCAGCCTTGAAACTCGCAAGGATTTTGAACATGCAGAGAATATCAGACTAACCTGATCAAATGTTGTACATATTCCAAGTAAAGGACCTATTGGCAAAACACCATGAAGTTGTTCCTTTAAAATTCTCGATTCTTCTTGCATTCCCATGGAACCATAACCCTTTTAATGGAATAAAGGAAGTGTAAAATAAACAAGTCCATGAAAACAAGAGCATCAGACTTTAATTTATACATGAAAAATCCACCATACTAGCGCGCTTACAATGCACATAGATCTTGGGCTCTTGCAAGCACATAACAAGATCCTTTTTTCAGGCAGAAAATGAAGAAAAGAAATTACCTCAGAATCGGATGACCTAATGGCGGACTTTGCATGCGATGAGATAGGTAGAATGTTAAGCTCATCATCCATGACCAAGCATGCCTTGCATGATGCAAGAGACAGCAGAAACCGTTCGTTGAACCGAGAAACTATTTCAGAATGTGACTCTGTTCTAAACCTTTCATGAATATCCTGAGCAGATCACCAGAGAACATGTATTAAATGTCTATATATTGATATAGGTAAATAATTTATTTATTTCTTATGAATAAAGGAGTAGGTCCTAGTTGTCCACGACATACAAAAGAAAAATTTACAAAAAGGCAACTCTACAAAATATTGCCCAATTGTAAGAATGACAATGGCAGATATTGTTACTCCTTGTTGAAAGGCTAACTTCTCTAGTCACAAAAACTAAAAAAACAGTGAAGGATCAAAATGATGATCTTCTTTCTTTTGAGGGATATGTACCTACCCTTCTAAACCCAATCTCCCTGAGAAATATTTAAAACTGAATATGCCAACTGTCTATATAATCACAAAAGAATAATAGGTTCTTCACAGATTCATTAGTCCTTGTAGGGAAAAGCAGTTCAATAAATATTTTGCCAACTCTAGAGGTTCAGTGAATAAAATTCTTGTACTTTTTCCAAGCAAAAAAAAATAAAAAGATCACTCTGAAGGGAACCTCAACTCCAATGAAAAGTAAGGTTACCATAGAACATGTTTCCTTCACTTAAATCCCAACAGAAAGATTCAACCTCAAAAGATGTGTTCAACCATGAAATTTTGATGCTAATCCTAGTATATTGTGCTCCACTAGCCCCACTCGTCTGAAATAAATAAATGGGCAGAACCAACCATTATTAACAAATATAAGTTTCCCCGCCAAAACCAAAGATAATATACCATTGACTTTACAAGAACAAGAATAGTTGGAAAACACCAGAAATTGGCAAGCTTATCCATTACTTGAATAAAAACAAAGAATGGCAAAAAAACTTCTGCCTATATGGCCATTTTGACTTTAATAATTACAAATTCAGAGTCATGAATACCATAACTCTCCGAAGTTATGTGCTTTCTCATAACTTCTGAGATCATAAAAATTAACAGTTATCACTGCTGAGATTAATCTCCGAATTCTTATTTTTGAAACCACTCATAAACTCCTGAACTATAAAACTATCAAATGGCTCAAATTTATGTACGTTTAATCATAGTCATCCCAAATTTATGTCACTATTATCAAGTAGTTCTGAAAGACATGCTTTCACTCATTTAGAACACGAATTAACTAAGAGGAGGAACAATCAACAAACCATGACCATCGTGCACAGACTGGTAAGTGAAGAGAGCGAACGAATAAGCAAAACCACCAAACCACCACCTTCTTGAATAAAAACAAAGAATGGCAAAAAAACTTCTGCCTATATGGCCATTTTGACTTTAATAATTACAAATTCAGAGTCATGAATACCATAACTCTCCGAAGTTATGTGCTTTCTCATAACTTCTGAGATCATAAAAATTAACAGTTATCACTGCTGAGATTAATCTCCGAATTCTTATTTTTGAAACCACTCATAAACTCCTGAACTATAAAACTATCAAATGGCTCAAATTTATGTACGTTTAATCATAGTCATCCCAAATTTATGTCACTATTATCAAGTAGTTCTGAAAGACATGCTTTCACTCATTTAGAACACGAATTAACTAAGAGGAGGAACAATCAACAAACCATGACCATCGTGCACAGACTGGTAAGTGAAGAGAGCGAACGAATAAGCAAAACCACCAAACCACCACCTTCTACAGTTTCAATAGTTCTTGCAAGAATATTTGGTGTCAATGCTTCAAAATCCTACATAACGGCAAGCAAATGAAACATCACCAACAGATTAACAGCGGAAAATTTTATTTCAAGAAAAGATAATGAAATTGACCTGCAAAATACACATGCCATATGTATTCCCAAGTATTCTTTCCGAATCCCTATATAAGCAATAAGAAACTACTCCACTTTCAACAAACAAAGAAAAAGGATCAGCCTTTTCAGCATCAAGGAGTCCCCTTTGCATTAGCTGCTTAACCTGCTTTGCACGTTTTTTCTTGTGGCTGAATCACACAAGCATCATATGATCAAATAAAGATATTTAAGCCAAAAAAAAACTTCTTCACAACCATATTAACTAATACATCCAAACAAAAAATGCAAAAATTTAAAATAAGTACACCCAACGATCCAAAAAAATATAAAATTAAAAAAACCTGCTAAGTTCCAATTTTTCCTTGTAGCACCACAAAACATTGGGTCTGGCTTTGATGACAGCCTTGCTCAACATGTAGTGGAGATTGACTATCTGCAATAAAAAAACAAAAAAGAATTAAATAAAGTGGAAAAGAATGTTTCAAAGCAAAGAAAACAAAAGGAAGTCAAAATAAACCTGGTCACGGGACTTGTCGCCAATAATAACGAACATAGACCGATGCCTAGCCTTCACTCCATTTTCAATCAAAGTCCTAATGCGATCATCAACTTTCTTCCTCATTTTGCGCCTGACAACAACACCATATACATACAAATAAATATTTTGCGCCACTCATGAAATATGTTAACAAGCATGTGACATACGCTAATAGTAAACAGGGAACACTAGGGCTCTTTTTCTTTTTCTTTTTCTTTTGACAATGGAGAACCTGAAGGTTTTATCTGCTTGAAATTGGGAATCACTGCAGCATTAAAGGACGTCGGGATACCGTAATTTGAATGCTTAAATAAAGTGTTTTCCTACACTTTAAGTCGGCTGTTCAAGAGCAAACTTTAAAAAATAAAAAAATAGAAAAGGAACCCAATCAAATCCCATTAATTTTAATTATTTTTTATTTTTAATTTCTGAATCAATTATTATAAAATAATTATTTTTTACCTAAATCAAACAGATATTTATCAAATCCATCAATTGGATTTGATTTCCAAACCTAATTCGATTTAAAAAATAATTATTTTCGGTAGAAAAAAAGATGTCAACACTCTATAAATGGGCTTGACTGAGCTACGTTAAAATCTAAAAATCGACTTTAGCCCAATTTTTAACGTAACCAAAATTATAATTGGACTTAATAAATAGAAAGGTCAAGAAAATTTAGTACAATTTCAAAACCCATGAGTTTTTGTTGCGTTTAAAGTAGTAATAATGAAAGAAAGGATATTCAAGTAAAATTTCTTCTCAGCCATGCACCTGTGGCGGTTACAACAAATATATAACCGAGAGAGAAGTATGTTATCCACGCGCATATATACAGCTGGTAGTGCCTTTGTTTGCAGGTATATTTCTCCTCGGTATTCACGGGAGGCTTCTTGACGTTGCCGGGAACAAATCAACGAAATTAAAAATTTTGATGAAATTGAATGTATTTTTAACCATACATTTTGTAGAAAATATTTAGTTTTATTTCTTTAGTTTATAAGTGAAACCATATAGCTGCTCCAGAAAAATATTTTCCAAGTATTCTCTATCCTTTGTTGGCATTTCTTATTTATGAATGTTACAAAGTAGTGCATCTTACTAATAATGGGAACTCCAGGAAGCCAGCAAGGGAAGAAAGGATGTTGGGATGGAGCCCGCCAGGTGAGGAGGGGCATAAACTCAGCTGCGATAGGTCACTTATACAGGCTTCTGCTCTTGCTTCAGCAGGTGGATTAATTAGAGGGTGTACAGGGAACTGGGTTACAGGCTATGCAGCAAATTTGGGTTAGTGCTCGATCCTAGCTGCAGAATTATGGACACTTTTCCTTGGTCTTTCTTTGGAATGGGATAACAACATCAGTAAGCTTATAGTTGAAGTTGATAATTCACAAGTAGTGGCTTTGGTTGCTAAAGATAATGCCCCTCCACTTTATGTGGCCAACCGTTCATGGAACATCAAGGATTTGTTATCTCGGGATTAGACTATTATAGTTTCTCACATCTATAAAGAGTGTAACAATGCTGCTGATTGGCTTGCTCATTTTGGTGCAACTTTAGCTATCGGCTTTCACTTTTTCCAGCAGCCTCCTCAAGGCCTTATTAGTTTAATTTTCCATAATATTTGTGGAATATCATATCCTAGAGATATTGTAATGTGATCTTTTCAATAATATCTTATTTAATTCCAAAAATGTATATATAATTAAAAACATAAAAACCACATATGTGCTTCTAGGATATGAACAACCAAACTCTTCTTTGGACATCATTTTGGTTGTTGTTTATACATTGGTATTATGATGGTTTCAATATGTATTGTCTTTTTTTTTTTTTTTTTTTTTTTTTGTGGACATCATTTTGGTTGGTTGTATACATTGGTATTATGATGGTTCTCAATAATGTATTGTCTTTATTTTTTTTTTTTTTTTTTTTTTTTGATTACAAATATTACTTTGTTCCTCTTATCTACTAATATCTTCAACTTAATTGTCATTTTGGTTCGGATACTAACCCATTTTGTTTGGAATTTACAATTATAAGAAGGGTAAAAATCATAAATAATATGTAGAACATTATGTAGTATATGATCATTAAATATTATGTAAGAGTCATTCGAACTTAGTAGTGCAATGTCCCTTATGCTTGATTTTCTCGAATCCAATTATAATACCAATAAAATCTTGCTAATCTGATGGTTGTTCTTGCAATTTAATTTTGAACCAACAACGCCAAATAACAGATAACCAATAGAAAGCAAGCACGGAAAATCCATAAAACAGTTGACAGGAAACTAGATAAATCAAACTTTTGAATAAGAACCAACACCATAGTTCTTGCCAAGCTCAAAATCCTGAATACCAAAATTCTGTTGAGGAACCCTGAAAGTAAAGCTCGCACATTCCTATTGTTGTTATTATTAGCAGAAATAAAAGAATAGGAAGAGAAAAAAGACAAAAAAAGAAAACTATCATAGGAATTTGTAGGAATCATTCAGAAAACTTGTGAATTAAGGTAGATTAGTATATAATAACATTTTCAAATTTTAAAATTCAAAAGTTAAAGTTTTAGTTAGATTGGGTTAGATGATCAGATTAGATTAGATTAGGTTTACAAGATTATCAATTATCACTATTATATATTCCCTCTGTCTAAAAAGGATAGTCTAGTTTTTTTTCACACAGATTAAGAAAGTAACAATTATTATGATTAAAAGACAATTTTATTCATATAACTTTCTATTATGTCCATCTTAAATAACGCTTGAGCAATTATTATAATGAAATAATAAGTAAGAATTGATAAAGATTATTGAAAATAATCTTTTTTTTAATTTAATAAGGGTATATTAGACAATTTAATGATGAACTATAACGTAAAAAAGGAAAGTGGATCTTTTTAGACGGATGGAGTACTAATTATTAAATTGACACAATTAATTATTGACCAATCAAAATATAGAAAAGTAAATAAAAAGGTTTAAATTTTCTAAATAAAGAAAAATAGAACGTTGAACAAAGAAAATGCTTTTTACTTTCTCTTTATTTCAGCTATATTTATTTCATATTTAAATCCCAAAACTACTGAAAAATTAAAAAGGAAACTTGTAAGAAATCAAAACATATCTCTTTTAACCCTCAAAAAAAAAAAAAAAAAAACAAAAAATGCTTTACTTTCTCTTTATTTTCAGCTATATTGTATTTCATATAAATCCCAAACTAACTGAAAAATAATAAAGGAAACTCTGTAAGAAATCAAATACATATCTCTTTAACCCTCAAAAAAAAAAAAATAAATCAAAAATCATATCTCTTTTATTTATTAAAATTTTTAAATTTCTGTATTTTTTACCTTCATTGTTTCCAAAAAAAAAAAAAAAAAAACATATCTCTTTTATTTATAAAATTTTTAAATTTCATGTATTTCTTACCTTCATTGTTTCCATGGAATTCTTAATTATATTTATATGGGTATAAAAATAATGTGGGCTTTACATTAAAAATTATACATCTATAATCTAAAAAATTCATTGCAAAATTGTACAATATTTTAGAGCTTTTTAATTTGAAAATTAGTTATTTATGATTAACTAAAAATATTTTTTTCAAAAATTTTATTTATAAAATTCTAGAAAATGAATGCAAAATTTGAACTAAAATACTATGGTGTTTTTGACACTGATCTAAAATTAAACCCAGGTATTAATCTTGAGATGGTTCACTTTATATAATCTGCATAATATCTAAATCCTATATATATATTACAGAATACTATCTAAATCCTTTTTGACCTGATCTAAAATACTATCTATATTACAGAGTATGTCCAGTCTTGTTGATGGTTCACTTTATATTATCCGCATACAAAAATATATGTATGTAAATCCTTGGATAATTAATGTGTAATCCTAATACGATAATATCATTAACTTACGATAAATAGTTGGAAATATCACTTTGTAAACACATTATTGTTACAGTCTTTGGTACCAATTAAATATGTAATTATTGGTTCAAAGGGTCAATTCTATCTTGAAATTTTGATGAGTATACAAAATAAATAAATTAATATTCTTATATATGCTAATATTATTTTATGCAGATTTTTTTTTAAATATAGAAATTGCTAAAGAATGTAAGTTACTACAAATCCAAGATTCTTTGAAGACCATGACAATTATTGAAGATTTTTTTAGTGGTTAATATCTTAGGATATATTGTAGGATAAAGAGAATATTATTTTATAAGCACAAAAATATTTTTCTTTTTTCTCAAAATAATTTTCGAAAATTGCCTTAATAATAAAAGCCAAATCTTGCTCCTTTTAATTTTACTTACCTAAATGGAAAAGATTTGGACTTAATTATATTTGGTAACAAATAAATAAATACTTGAAAAAGATTTGCATATATTTTATTTTTGGAAATTTCCTTACAAATAATAAGTCAAATCTTTTCTTTATTCTACTTTCCTAAATGAAAAAAATCTCGACTTAAATATTTTTGGCAATAAATAAATAAAAGATTTTCGTGTATCTTTTACTTTTGGAATGTCAAAGATATTCTTTTTAAAACTAAAGAATCAATGCTTTCTAAACGGGATCTTCATCCCTCTATAAAGGTGTTTTCCTCTTGTGAAAACGTGGTGGTTTTTCTTGTAAGAGTAAGAGTTCATTAATATAAAATTTTAAATCTCTCAAAACTCTCTCTTCAAACCCCCTTATTTTTTTTCGTCTTTTTGCTTCAATAAATATTTTTAAGAGAAAAGAAAATTTAATCACAACATTTTCTGAAGAACAGTTCTAATCTTTAAATCTGTTTTCTAAATCTATTTTTTGTTCTTCCTGTGCTTATAATTGTATTTCTCTCTGTCTATATAGTGCTGAAGAACAGTTCTAATCTTTCTTAAATCTGTTTTGCTAGATCTACTTATTTTTGTTCTTCCTGCTGTCTCTATATCATTGTATTTCCTCTGTTCTGATATAGATGTTTGTAATCTGTTGTAACTAGAGGTTAATCGAAAACTCTCTGTGTAATAAGCTGTAGCTGAAAGGCTATGTGTATTAGGTTATCACAGTGAATCTCTCCTTGTGTAAGAATTTCTCCTTGTGTAAGATTCTAATGTCTTGATGTGAGTTTCTGTTCTCTGCAAAAACAGAAAGGGTTGAGGTTGACTAGAATCTTTGAAAAATCTAGTGGAACAAATGTTAGATCTAGGTGTTGATATATTTCCTTGTAATGTTGGTTTGTCTCTTACCCTTGAAAAGAGATAACATAGTGGAAGATCTCAAG